AGACTAATAGTAATACAGTATTACTAGTTTGACAGTGTTATGGGAATTAGTTGTTTAGCAGAGTGATCGCATTTGGGGGAAAAACTGTCCTTTTATCTAGTTGTTCTGTTGTGCAGTGCCCTATAGCGCCTATATTAGAGCAAGTGAATGTAGCCCCTACAGAAAACCTTATAAATAGAACTCAAGAGAAAACACTTTTAACAAAGTAGAATTTAAAAATCCTGATGGTTCTAATATTAGTGTTAGTTGCATATTAAATACTAATAACAATTCATTGGAGATGCACAGTGTATCTCCAGAAGTGCAAGAGATGCCTGCAAATCTGAAAGCACCTAGAAATCTGCAGGTTTATATATATACAACAGCCAATGTGAAACTTAAGAGGTTTCTTGCATCAGATTTAACAGCAGCAACAGAATACAAAGAAGCATTCAGCAATTTAAGTGAAAAAAGTTCAAAAGTTTGTAACAATAGCTCTTCACTCCAACAAAATAAATTGGCAGCTATATATCCAATTGATCACTTAATTTCTGGATTCTCTGCTCATGCGCATTCATTAAATGAAAACACAGAGAACCCTGCTTCTGAAAATCAACAGGATAAATTGAAAACCAGGATAGAACATTTTTATAAAGTAAGTCATAAAGACAATGTGAGTTTGGGTTTGGAAACCTATGTAGAGGCAGGTATGTATTGTATTGACCCTGTACAAGAAGATAAGTATGCTGCTATTCATTCCTATGAAATACCTCTTTTCTCTGCTGATGAACCAGAATCTGAACAATTCAAACAATGCATTAGATCTAATTGAAGATATATGAAAGGACTCTGATAATATGCACAAGCTACAGTCTTTACCACGAGCAGCTGTGGGACACTCTGATCACTGCATGATCCACCTTGTACCTGCCTACAGACAAAGACTTAAAACCATGAAACCAACAATTAAATCAGTGAGGACTTGGTCTGATGAGGCAAAGCTGAAGCTTCAGGCTTGCCTGGATTGCACTGATTGGAATGTTTTTGAAGATACCTCTGCAGACCTAGATGAGCTTACAGATACTGTAACATCATGTGTCAGCTTCTGTGAAGACCTATATGTACCAACAAGGGACCTGCAAATATATAGTAACAATAAACCTTGGTTCACAGCTAAACTTAAGCAGCTACATTGTTCCAAAGAGGAAGCCTGCAGAAAAGGTGACAGAATGCTATACAATCAGGCCAGAAACATATTAAGTGAGATCAGAGCAGTAAAAAGAAGCTACTCTGAAAAGTTAAGGAATCAGTTCTCAACAAATGAACCAGCAAACATGGAAAACTCTTAAAAACATCACTGGCTACAGCAAACCTCCTTCCCAGGCAGAAGGAAATCAACAACTAGCAGAGGATCTGAATGTGTTTTACTGCAGGTTTGAAAGGAAACTACAGCCACCTATCTCCACAATCCCCATCTCAAACACACCAACAACAGCCAAGCCTCCTACAACTTATGATTCTTGACTCTTGACTAATGTATCTTTTCTTTTATGTACACTGAAAGCATTTGCACTTTAAAAATGCTATGTTTTTAAAGATAATTTTTCAACAATGGATGCTGCAGATATATCTACAACAGAGACTTATGAACTTTGGAATTGAGATGCAATTGTTGGGAAAGTTCCCAATTAAAATCTTACAGAAAGGTTTTTTTATTAAGAACCAAATGAGGATCAGAGATAATGATTGGGGTGATCTGGGGCAGATAAGAAATCCTTGTAGACTTTCTAAGAGTAAACTACAATAATAGTTGACAGAGAGCCTTGAACTTTTAACTTTTCTGTTGATTAACCTTTTAACTAATTTTTCTTCATGTATTTGTTGGAAGTTGGCACCCACCCCTCTCCTACAAAATAATGAAATATTTTAGGAAACACTAAAAAGGCAGAATATTTCCCCTAAAAAGAAGTAGAAACTCAGGCAAAAGCTCACCCCCCCACATTTGTTAATGGGTGGGCCATTAAGACCTGGGCCAAAGTATTCTACATAACAAAGCCTTCTACCTATCTCACCACATGGCCTGGGAAGATTGCATCAGCCAGCACTCAGGTGTAGTCATGTGGTCCAGACAAAGCCTACAAAGTTAGCTAAGACCCCTGCCCCGGGAGTCTGACAGCCAGTGGGATACATTACACAGAAACAGGAAACACTAAGGTGGGGCCCAACAGCGAGCATAAAACTAAGGGTCTCTCAGCATCTTGCCCCTTCTTTTCCTTCACCCAATATCTTGAAGCATGTGATCGCCCTTTGTTCATTCAGGAGCTCCAAGCCATGTGGTCCTGTCCACCATTAAACTTCCTTTCCAAGCAACTTCCATGATTACAGTGTCTTTTTCCCCACTTGGAACTGAACCCAGAAGGATATTTCTTCCAACACATACAATGTATGACAATTCAAATTGGATTGCAAATAGATGTAGAAATTTATAAATTTTGGACCTGATTTGCAAGGGGGAAGCTATTATTGTTGCAATATATTTGTCAGTGTTCAACTAGGGGGGATAATACGTGCTTTTGTTTTTTGTCCTTTTAATTCACATTTTAAATGTTCTTTGTCTAGCTTTGTTTTGACTTTGTTACTTTTTTCTTTGTATTTTGTATTTTAATCTTGAATAAAAAAAATCATTTTGTCTTTAAGATCCAGAAGCAGGAATATCAATTAAGAACACATGAATATTACCTAAGTAGGCTTTGTAACCAAACATGTTTTAATATGACATTTGAACATTGTCATTCTTTAAAAATAATCAGGCAGTGGCTTCCTTACTAATTCTGTTTTTGAAGGACTGAATTTTATAGCATTGTTGGCAGAGCTAGCCATTTATCTTCATGAAACATTATACTGCATGTGTTTTATGCATGCTTTTCTCTTTATTTGGAAAAGAGAAGTGACATCCAGTGATATAAATGCAGTGTATTAATCTTTTTAAAAACGTTCCCAGGGATAACTCTTTTACCCCAGTACTATTAAAACTAATTCCTTAAGGGAATTATTTAATTAAAAGGCCCATTTATATTATGTTAAACATTTAAATAGCTATTGTAACACATGAATTGCTATAGCTAGTTAAATTGTAAGATAATATGTTAACATGGAGAACTAAACCTAAAAGACTTCAATACAGGTAGTCCTCATCTTACGATCACAATTGAGACCCAAAACTTCTGTTGCTAAGTGAGACATTTGTTAAGTGCATTTTGCCCCATTTTACAACGTTTCTTGCCACATTTGTTAAGTGAATCATGGCAGTTCTTAAATTAGTAACACGGTTGTTAAGTGAATCTGGCTTCCCCATTGACTTTGCTGGTCAGAAGGTCACAAGGGGATCACATGACCCTGGGGACACTGCAACTGTCATAAATGTGAGTCAGTTGCCAAGTGTCTGAATTTTGATCACATGACCCTGGGGATGCTGTAATGGTTGTAAGTGTGAAAAATGATCATAATTCACTTTTTTCAGTGCCGTTGTAACATTGAACGGTCACTAAGTGAACTGTTGAATGGTGAGGACTTAGCATACATTTTGCTTGAGGGTTTTAACCATGTATATTATAATTTGTTGACTAAATTGTTGTCGGCTGGACTTGGATTTATAGCCTACATACCTACTTAGGGTTATGTGATTCATACATTGTGTTGAGCAGTTAACCATGGTTTATACAACTTAATGGCTGGGCTCACAACACAGGCAATATTGTATTCAAACTTCACGCTGAAGTCATCCTTTGTCATCACTGGTTAAATGGTTATAAAATAGTTATCTTTATACCTCTTGGTAAAACAATGGTTTTAATTTTAGATGACTACTATAAGAATACAGTATTGCTATTGGTTTTTCTATTATGTGTTTTTATGTGGCTCCCTTGTTCTCCTGTTCACTGCTGCCTTTTTAATGAACTGATGAAGATATCTGACACTAATCTTAAAATGTTCTCAGTTTAGAGGAGAGAAGTTGACATAAACCTTGGATATTTACAAAGGCTTAGATCTAGCTTTCTTTTCAAAAATAAGATTGTTACCATCTTTTAAAAGAGGGAAGAAGCTATATAGAAAATTGAAAATGGTAACAAGATATGGAATGGTATATAAAATGAATATGATTTTTGAATTTCTGTCTGTACGAAGAGTTTTAACCCGGGATCAAGCAACTTTCAGAAAAGATGTTTTATGTTTTTATGTTCTATGTTTTGTTTGTTTGTGTATTGTTCTTGAAAAGCAATAAAATTTTAATTAGCAAGAAATATAATTTGAATAATAGAATGAAAGGGAGAAATAAAGAGAAGTTGGGATAAGATGTGAAGTTGAACAGATAACGTAAATATATATATTATAATTTGGAATTATTCTGTATGTTCTATTGGTTTTTTCAGAAAAGATCTTTTATGTTATTATGCCTTGTTTGTTTGTGTATTGTGTTGTAAAAACTAATAAAATTTGTTTAAAAAAAGAAAGAAAGGAAACGTATTGTATAAAATAATAAAAACATATTTGAGAAAAAAAAAAGATTGTTACCATCTTTTTCTTGTTCCTCCAAAGTTTGTTCCTGGGAATTGTGAGGATACAGAGAATATTATGGGAATATGTTGTGCAAAGAGCTATCTACAGACTGTAGATAAACAGGAAGTTGATGAAAATCCATCCCTTTATGTGTACAGAGAAACAGATTTAAGAAGTTAGTCAATGTAGACAAATACCTTTGTTCATAATAAGGAACAATGTAAAAACAAGGTGCTTATGATTTAGTCTTAAGTGACAAAGTGAATTCAGTTAAATGCCCAGATTCAAGGTCTTTATAGGAAGTCTATTTTTATAAAGTGTAATTCTTTCATCTCATATTGTGCACTTCCTATATATGCAACTGTTACAGTGATTTTTTTTTAATGTGATAAATGCTGTTCTGTATATATGTGTGTGTGCAGTTAATAAGCATATATGTTCTGAGTATGAATTATGCATTACAGGAGCCAGCCAAGGTTTCTGAATTAAATCCTAATGCAAAAGTGTGGGGGAATCACATGATACACGTGGAAGCAACTGGTACTGAAGGTGGTGTGAGCAAAACCTGGGAAGAAATAACAGATCATCCACCAGATTCCTGTAAAAAAGGTACAAGAAATCTGTTTTGAAAGACTGGAGTATAACTAATAGTAAAGCTATCTGTATTTACGTAATACTTTTACTTGTGCAAACAGCTTTCCTTTCTTCAATTAACAGCTTTCTTATTTCCCTTCTCAGTCCACATTTTCTTCTCTGCTTTTGTTATAGTCTAATTAAACCAATATTTGTTAACCAATATGCTCTTATTAGTTAACTACTTCTCGTCCCCACCCCCATAACTGGTACCCTAACCCAGCGATCCCCAACCTTTCTAGCTTGGCAGCCTGCCCTGGCGCAGGGGGGTTGGCATGTGAATGGCAGGCAAAAGCGCATGCCCTCCACTCACACAAATGGAGCTTCACATGTGAACGGAGGGTGCTTGCGCTCATGTGCAAGAGCATGTGCATAAGCGGCAGGCTCTTCTGCTCGCGCACAAAGCTTCACTCACGCGACTGGAGCTTTGTGCGTGAGCACAAGCGCCTTCAGCTCACACAAATGGAGTTTCGCATGCAAGTGGAGGTTGCTTGCGTTTGTGCGCGAAGTTCCACTAGTGTGAGTGGCAGGCTCTTCCACTCACACATGAAGCTCCACTCGCGTAAGCGGAGGCTGCTCACATGCAATGCTCCACTTGTGTGAATGGAGCTTTGTGCGCAAGCACCCTCTGCTTGTGAGAGTGGAGCTTCATACAAGCATGCTTGCCCGTTTCTCCCGCAGCCCAGTTTTGAACAGGCTCACTAGTGAGCCACAGCCTGGGGTTTGGAGGGGCCCTGCCCTAACCCAAAGGATATGCTTGTACATACCCTGCCCTAGTTCAATTTAAAAAATTATTAAAAATTAATTAATCCACCCTTAAAACCAAATAACCACCCTTAAAAAAATAATGGCTATGTCAGCATTCCAAGTAATGCACCCATTAAAAGCAGAACTCCGAGGCAGGTATATTCCTCAAAGAACAATTTATTGGATACATCATATTGGCACAACTGGTGAAAACCAACTCTGAAGGTTCCTGCAGTTTTTACCTAATTAAAAAGTAAAAGTTCCCCCTTTCCCCCCAGGTCATCCGTCACATTGTCCAATAGTGGTGCTAGCAGGTTGCTTTGTTACTCCATTCCTCCTCTTCTCAGCCACCTGTTGGAATGACCTTGATTCCCACAAGAAAACTTTTTATTTTGACAGCCAAGCCAAGCTATGCTATCTAAAATCCCCCACTCCCTTTCTCCCCCTTCACTTTGTGGCAACCATGAAGCCTCAAAGATGGCCTCAGCCAGGCTCGCTTCAGGGTTGACAGTTGGACCTTTGTGAGAAGCTCCTGCAAAAGAAAAGAAAACCAGATGGAGGTCAATTAGTGCTCAATTAACCACCTTTTGTGTCCCCCCACCAGGAGGGCCTTTTGCCTTTTGCGGGTATTTGTCGTGGAACTGGTTAATCAATCTTTCTGCCTTTACATTCCAGCTCTTTACCCATGTGGCTGTGATGACCTGTAGTCTCTCAAAATAACCCCAAACCCAAAACATACATTAAAGTCCGGTAATGCCTTCAACTTAACTTCACTGTTTTATTAGGCACAGTTTAAAGTCACAAAAGTAAATAATGAGGCAAAAAGAAAACCAAAACAAACTGCATTGATGAGAGTTCCGAAGCAAGCCAAGATAACTAATCATAAACTCCAGGAAAATAACCGAGGAGAGTCCATGGGAAGAACGCCAGCAAAGATAAAACTCTTTCAAAGTAAACACTAAATTGACTCCAGCAATTCTGACTGCGCAGTTACAAACTTATATACATAGCTTCCAGCTGCAAGCCATGAGGAGGATCATGGTAATCTCCTCTTGAGTAGACCTCGCTTTTCCCTGATCCTCTCCTCCCTGCGTGACCTAGGATGGATAGGGGATGGGCCTGGATCCTCCTCTGATTGCTCAGCCAGCCTCTGCCCTTCCCCAGCCTCCTCCACCACTTCTGGAGCCACACTCCCACTCCCTGTTGGCTGTTCCTCCTCTTCCTCAGAGTCAGTCTCCACCAGGGGCATGACAGTGGCTTTGGAAAGCAGGTACCACTTCCATTGTACTAGGTATTGTAATCTCCCCTTGTACAATCTGGAATCCAAAAGCCTTTTTATTTTGGAAAGTGTTTCCCCTTGCACTATGATTGGTTTTGGGGCTGCCTGGTCCACTGGCCTTAGCTGGGAGTCTACCATGAGCTTTAACAAGCTGCTGTGAAAAAACGGATACACTTTCCCTAGCAGGCAGGGATGTTTCAGCTCCACTGTAACTGGGTTAATCACTTTTACTATTGGGAAAGGCCCTATAAACTTTTGTCCCAACTTTTTGCAGGGGAGTTTCAGCCTCAGGTACTTGGTTGAGAGGTACACCTTATGCGATGCTTGTCAGCTTGTGCTTTATGGGGTTTTGCTGCCTCTTGAAGAACCCACTTCGTATTTTCCCAGGCTTTCTTCAGCGACTCCATCCATTCATTTGAAGACATGGAGGAGGGTGGCTCCCGAGGGAGTCCAGGCATGGGGACGAACTCCATGCCACTTGTGAACTGGAAAGAGGTTAACCCGTTGCTACTATGCACCACATTATTATATGCCACTTGGGCAAAAGGCAAAAACTCTGCCCAATTGGTCTGCTGATAGTCTACCT